GGATGGCTGACTGTCCTGAAACACATACCCTCAGTTCTCAAAGACATGACTTCAGAGTTTATCTTTCAATTAGGAGACTTTAGGCTATTTGGCAAAGCTGATCCGTTTCCTGGGGATGAAACATGGCAAGAAAATAAAGCTAGTGCAAAAGCGCTGCTGGTAAGATTTGCCACCCTACTCGCCTTAGAAAATTAAGCACGGTTCCCAAATGTAGAGTAAGATCCATAAGCACTTAAGCAAATTGATAAAAACAAGTAATTTTGAATCCCTCCCAGGGGAAAATTGTACTCTAACACTTAGTATCCTGTGGTATCTGGTAAATACTAATGAACTCCCAGCTAACTTCAGCTTAGGCTCCATATAAGCAAAATACATACGACAAGAACACTTCCCCACACACACACCCCTTACTATCCCCCTCTCCTCCAAATTCTTCAATGACAGCAGTGCATTTGGTTTAGCTCTGTGACTGTTAAAAGGTTTTACACACTGGACTTGGGCATGTCTTGGGCTACATTTTAAGTGCTAAGAGTAGAATTAACCTCTTTGCCTTTGATACTATGTATAGGAATCTATGTATAGGAATCTATGCCCTGTTTTCCCTCCTTTTCCCCCTCTGCTCTAAAATCAGCAGAAATGTTGTCACTGACTTCCTGGAAAGCAAGTAATATATTCCCTTGAATATAAGAATTTACACCAAAGTATCTATCTGACATCAATTTGTAAACTGACAGATCTTTACAAAGATTCTTCTAAAAGAAATGTTTTAGAAATGTTTATGACACGGAACCCTAAATAATGGTCCATTTCAGCAAGAGAAATAATTGTTTCACAATTTTTTACTGTAAGCTATATCTACAGAATCAATTTTATCACAAATATAGGAAGTGTGTATAACTTTGTCTTCAATGTAATTGCATATATTTTGATCAGCACCTAATTTAGGAGAAGTTAGAAATCAAAAGCTGGGTGGGCACATGACCGAAGCAACCTTGCTCTCAAATGCTGATCCTGTGTAGCTCTCATTTGTAGCAGGAAACGGATCCACACCTACGTGATAATAGTTATGTCTTTTATTTAGGAATCTAAATAACTTCAAAGTTTGCCCCCTTACTGGAAGAGCTACAAAGCTCATTTCAAAAGAAATAGAACTATTTAAGTCTTTTCAGATACAGAATTCTAACTTGTATGTTTTCTTCTTCAGGCTCCAAATACCAGATTCACAGATGAAGCTATCATGATGCTTTGGGAAAAGAATACAATGTTGCAATCATAAGATTATTAATAATCAACACACTAGAAATCTAAAAGGCTATACTGATTTATTTTTTTTAATAATGAAGCACCTAACTGACCGTGCTTACACAAAAAGTTTGGATATAAATCAGTATTTGTCCAGGTTACCATTCTGAGCCCAAAGAAAATTTACATGTAACCGATTTCTCTTCTTGCAACTCTCTCTCCAATATAATTTGTGCTATGTCTTAAGAACATACCAATGTTCTATGAATCACTGAGGTATCGCTCCATTTATACCTGGTGTCAACTGCAAGCAGAAGTGAATTTGGATTACGGGTGTAAAGAGGAAGAAGTCATTGAAAGGTCAATTGAAAGATTTTCTAATCTTTCAGAATAAATCAAATTATTACTTGCAAGTCTTAGTTTATTATTTTGTCTCTTGTTTCACAATGCAAATTCAAAAGTAAACCTCCTTGTCAAGAAAATGAATGCTTAGCATTTATATTGTGTTTTACCAATTCAAACCAATGTGTAAGCATGTCAGTCCTACAAACCCCACTCTCTTAGGACATTGAAAGTCCACAAGATTGGGCCATTGATACAATTCAATGGAATAACCTAGTCCAATGCCAAAGACCTGTTATTTTGCTTTCTTGTTTCCCAAGCTACATATGTAGTGAGTGACCTCTATGGGACAACACATGCTTCACACTCAGCACGATGGGACCTCACTTATGGTATGGAAACGAAATCGCAAATTTTGACATTCGTGGAGCCACTTTGGACCTACACCAGCACACCTAAACTCAGAACTGTCCTTCCATCTATAGATAGCTCTGCTTCTGGTGCTGCAAGAAGTCCACAAATGTACGTCACGTCCAGCTGAATGTTTCCTGAAAACCTGAAGGTGTAGCCTTGCTGAGCAGACAGAAAGGTCCCTGAAGGAACACTTCTGTCTTGAGTGCACCCCACAGGGGCAGGTACACTTTTCCACGAAGACTCAGAACAGAAAATATGAGCACTCATGAAGTCTGGACCAGCGGAGAAGAAACCTTTTACAAGGCACCTGAGCAGGAGCTTTTGCAAATACAAAAAGGGAGGGGAACGTATTCCTCAGCAGTGGCAGCTCTGGGTTAACTGTAACAAAACAAGCAAAGAGGCAAACTCCAGCCTTACTTCCACAGCCACCTTGGGGAAAGGACCGATTTCGTAATCCTTGCTTGTGCAAGCAGCCCTGAGGCAGGAAAAGGGACCACTCACA